GTTCTCAGGCCTGTGCGAGGCCTGCTTTGAGGCTGGAACTCCTGTTTCTTCACTCGAGGTGACCCCTACATATATATATTCTCCCCGACTCCTCCTCCTCGCCCCATACCTCTCAACCAATCAATCAACACATGCATAGTGGGTTCCACACAACTTAACAAATGGTGGCATACCATCATGATGCTAATGGTGGTATATCAACATGAAGCCAACTGTGGTATACTAATATGACTCTAAAGGTGGTATACCAACATGATGCTAATTGTGGTATACCAATATGATGCTAACAGTGGTATGTTAACATGATGCTAACAGTGGTTTACCAACATGTTGCTAACAGTGGTATACCAACATGATGCTAACGGTGGTATAACAACATTATGCTAATGGTGGTATATCAACATGATGCTAATGGTGGTATACCAACATGATGCTAATGGTGGTATACCAACATGATGCTAATGGTGGTATAACAACATGATGCTAATGGTGGTATAACAACATGATGCTAACAGTGGTATACCAACATGATACTAAAGGTGGTAAACCAACATGATGGAACGTATCAATAACAGCATGACAACTTGAGTTTTCACCTGAGTAGGTAAAGGTGGCAAGATTAAATGTAAAAATTTAAAGAAACAATCTTAGCAGAGAATAACTTAGTTGTCCTGAAGGAACAATCAAATCAATTCAGAATAAATCCACAAATGCTAACATGCTAACATGTAGCATCCATATTTACTTCTGTGAACTCAGTGTGCTGAGGGCGGGATGCTTCAGGGCTGTGGATTGTTCACACTGGAGTCTGACTGAGGTCACATTTAAAATATTATCGGAATGACCACACAAAGAAAAATCAGATCTGAGCAAAAACAATCAGAACTGAGCTTTAAAATCTGCAGTGAATCTCTACTAAAGACATTTGTCCACATCAGACACTAACTGAGACGTGYCTCCTGGATGAGAACTGATTATCATATTTAGCTGGTATGAAACCAAATCAGCTGATCAGCTGTTTGGGTTTGTCTCAGAARGAGGACAAACTCACTCCAGGATGTGGACTTTGTGCAGATGTGGGCGGAGTCGGARCAGCAGTTGGTCTGTTAGCTGACAGTGACTGAGGTCCAGCTCTGTCAGACCTTCAGAGGAGTCCAGCATCTGGACCAGAGCTCCACAGAGCCTCTGATCCATTGTGCTGTGACTCAGATCCAGTTCTCCACCCAGGGCCCTGCAGAGGGACACCGCCCGTCTCACAGWGTCCCTCTCACTGTTGACAGGAAGCAGAGACAGCAGCTGGACAAGGACAGTCTTGCTGAGTCTGAACAGGAGGAACAGAACAAAGAGCATCAAGACKGATGAAATGAAGCTTTTCTCTGTTTCATCTTCATCAGTGATCTTCCTCACCTGAGGTGGACCCTGTCCAGGACAGGAAACAGCAGGTCCAGGCTGCTGTCCTCCACCTCACAGTCTCTCAGGTGGAGCTGTGTGTCCTGACTGCTGTGTCTGAGGACAGAGGAGATGGCCCTGCAGTCAGCAGCAGTCAGAACCAGAGGCTCAATCTGACCCTCTTCTGGTAGGTCCACAGAGGAGGAACAAGACAGGTCCACACTCTGCTGCAGAGTCCTCAGCAGCTCCGATGCTGCCTCCTGCTGGTGTTCAGAGGCAGCGCAGCAGTGGATGAACCTCAGCAGCTGCTTCCTGTCCACACTGGTGGGACCAGAGACAAACTATCAGATCACAYGTGGGAACAGTTTCATGTGGAGGTGACTGGAAACCGATTGTACAAACAGTATTTTGCTTGTTGAAACTGACAAACAAGAAATATTGAGTATGGTAAAAAAAAAATTGGTAACAAAAGATCAAAAGACTGGGTGGACATGGACATGATGCTTGTAAAAGATATAATGAACTATGTGGTTGAACCGTTTACATATATCTGTAATTTATCATTTTCAACTGGTGTATTTCCTGACAATATGAAAACAGACAAGGTAATTCCTCTTTTTAAAAATGGTTAGAAACGTGTTCAAAAATTACAAACCAATGTCCTTGTTACCACAGTTTTCTAAAATTTTTGAGAAATTATTTCACCAGATTGGATCAATTTATTGAAAAGTACAATATCCTAAGTATCCTGATGCATCTCAGTAATCCAGGTAAAAAATCAATCCCTTAATATCCTAAGTAGTAGTCAGTATGGGTTTAGAGCTAAAAGTTCTACATCAAAGACTCTTATGGAATTTATGGAACAAATAACTTGCTATCGATCAATAGTATTGTTGGAGTATTTATGTACATTTAAAGAAAGCATTTGATACAATTTATCRCAATATTCTTCTTGAAAAATTAAGTAAATATGGTATTAGAGGATCGGCACTACAATGGGTATCTAGTTATTTGAAAGATAGGAAACAGTTTGTACAAATAAATGGTGTAAGATCTAAACTTGGTAATATCACATGTGGAGTCCCTCAAGGATCTGTACTGGGACTTAAGTTATTTATTTTATATGTGAATTATTTAGTAAATGTGTCAGGACTTTTCA